TCCATGTTGAGGAGAAAAAATTACATGACAAAATTACATCTTACAAACACTGTAAACACCTTTTTTGTAACTGATGTTAAGTATGTATACCAATGAGCGACAATCGCGCTGCAAAGATTGCAAGTGTAAACGGGTCTTTACAATATTTGAACTACAAGGAAACACCCATGATTCTCTGTGATTCTATAGTTTCTAGTCGTGCTTACGCGACTCGTCAGTCAGAAATAATTTTGTCTTGAATTTTCTTTATTTGATTGAGGAGCCTGCAATTACAATTATTTTAGTATATATGATTTTATCTAAYTTATCTTTTCACAATCGGCTCATAAGAGTTGATTTTCTTTTCATTCGAGTATTTAGTTTTACTGATCGAATGTTTGAAGAAGCGGGTTTATTTTCCCTGGGGAACACGGGAAGAAAAAAAAAATCAGCCCGGCTAATATAATCTATCCGATCCAAACTTTGATAACTGAATTCAAAATATAAATATTTTCATTTCTCAGACACAATTTGAAAAKATTTTCTTCATCTTAAATCAGTTTCAAAATTATTGCTACAAAATTCCTGAAATTTGCTAAGAAATCAAAATGCCATTTCATAATCATTAAAATAGTTGAAAAATTAGTGTAAAACAATAGGCTAGATTAGATTGTTCTTATATTCACTCGGTCGAAGTCAGTCCCACCAGTCAAGTCACCAAATATGGCATACTGGTAATTACTACGGTTCATGAACAGTGACATCATTACATCATCAGTCACGCCTCCTCATCAAGAAACCATGGTCTGACTTGAAACTAGCTATGCGATCGTTGACCAGGATAAAAATGGCRTTAAGGATTTCAGGAAAGAGAAAATCCCTCTCTGCAGCCTTTCTGAGTCTTATAATCCTCAAGAGCTTTTTGTTTATTCTACAATATTACAACGAGAARATTTACAGAGAGACTTTAATACGGAGACCCGTAAAAAGAACAACAAGAGACGAGTTGTCATTACAAACTATTCCAGCTCARTCRATGCAAGATTTTAATAGATCAGACTTTCCACCACATATGAAGAAAAAATTAATTCTTTACTGGTCTGGTGTTAGAGGACATAAAGTCCCCGTTCAAAAATCTGGAGTCAACCATACGCATTTCTGGCCGTTTTTCTACGCTGGGAAATCAAAAGACTGTCCGGTYCCATGTGAGCTATCGAGCGATCCAAAGCGAGCGCCCGARGCKAGCGCTTTCGTCGTTCACGCTAGAGAACCAGATATAAGGAATTTACCGCCGTTGGAACATCTAGCGCCTTGGATCCTTCAAACCAATGAGAATCCRGTGTACACTCCTTCGTTATCCAACCGGCGTATCATGTCAAAGTTTAATCTTTTAATCAGCTATAGATTGGACTCTGATTTTCCTGCACCTATATACCCTATGCCTGGGCTAGCRCCGCCTGTGCCGTTTGATAAAAGACTTGGTGATATTTTAGCTGTGTTTTCGAAATGYGAACCAGTRAGAACTGAATAYATGCGACAACTGATGAAGCATATTCAAGTCGATTCCTATGGCTACTGCTTGAAGAATAAGGACGGATTAATAGGCTTATACGGTAAAGTTAAAAACAGATATGTCTTTAAGGAACATAAGCTGGTTCTTTCAAGGTACTACAAGTTCTCTTTAGTGTTTATGAACCAAGACTGTGACTATTTCGTCGATGATCGTCTGTATCATGCCCTGACTTCCGGTTCGGTACCAGTCTACATGGGCACGGACAAAATCGATGAATTTTTACCGGGAAATTTAAAAAACTCCATCATAAAAGTCCGGGATTTTGAAAGCCCTAAACATTTAGCMGAATATTTGAAATATCTYCTTAAAAACGAAACTGCTTATAATAAATACCTAGAATGGAAATGGAAGGGATTGGGAGATATAAGCAGCTCTGTGATTGGTCGCTGGTGGAAGCCTAGATACCCTTTATTTTGCCAGGTGTGTATGTCGCTGGTCAAAGGRAAGTTGCATCACGGGCTCAAGGTTGATAAATGTAAGCCRAGGACTTATGAGGACTGGAACCTTGAAGATCCAAACGCTGTATATTTTGATTTTTATACTTTGGGAATATATTTTGGGTTTGCCCTGGTGGCATTATGGGTWATGCTGACATAAAAATGCATTTTTGATATTCTTTGGTATTCGTCGCTTGCATTGCTACAAGACGAAATTTAGGTATCGATAACTCGCGAGGCACAGTTTGCGATAGACTGCCGTCAAACAGCAACGAAGACTACTAGTTTATTGACTAGGTGAAAAAGCCACTGGTTTTGATTACTGACAAAAAATTATGGGAATGGTTATAGTCGCATTGTAAACATGAATAATGCCATAAACTTTATACCATAAACATTATAAACGAGAAAAGGTTTCATGTCTTTAAAGGCTCTTTACCAACCGGTGTTCAATGCGGTCGTGGTCTGAGATTTTCATAAATGAAATGTGACTCATAATACTGAATACTCGTTCGCAACTCCTTTTTCACAGGGATTACTATTCATTTATAAAGAGATTGCTTGTTTTACGGTTTATTTTCATTCAAGGTCTACTAGACACTTATTTATACAATCAATCCCGTTACAGTCAAAAGACTTTAAGCGCGCTCCCTCAAAACTCCATTATTCAATTCATGATTCGATTCTTGGTCGATTCAACATTACATGATTGAAATCAATTGAATTCAAACTTCGAAATTTGATCGGACTTTCATATACAGGCTTATTCGTATTTCGCTTGTAAACATGCTGGTCTTTTGTAATTTCCACAAGTCGATGCATTGCAATATGCTGTCTGTTAATTTGGCGGGATCTGTTCCTTCTCGTGAGAAAGGAATGACGGTCTCAAAAAACTGGAAATGCTGTGTTGTTTTTTATTATTATCAGAGTTCAGGATCTGAATTTACTTTTGCATTAATCAACTGAAGTTTGAAAACGAAAAAATAAATGAAAAATTAAATAATGAATTGAATAACGAACTATTCGGGGAGGGGGGGGGAGGGGGGGCGCTTCATGTCTTTGACTGTAACTTCATTCACTTGTAAAGACATGACAACCAAAGTCATTTACATCAAACGGGTTTTAGAAATTTCCAGGAAGAATCAGTTTAATTCTAACTAAGCTTTAGATATATATAGCAAATTATAGGTTATTGACATTGAAAAGAATTTTTGTAACTTTATTCTTGAATATATTTACAAAGAATTAAAAATATAATATATACAGATGAATTTGTTGCTGTTTTTACTTCTTAACCTAGCCTGCGTAGCGGCCCTAAAGGGATTGGGGAGGGCCGAGCGGAGAATGGGGAGGAGAAAAAGGAGGGGCCTGCAAGAGCACCCCACAGTTTTTGATAATTTTGGTGAAATACTTCTTAAGGCATACGACTTTATCGTATGCCTTAAGAAGTATTTCAACAGAATTATTATTCTTACACAAGGCATGGCAAACAACTACTTCTCCCCACAGTTTTTACCAACATGGCAGGCGATGAGGAAAGGATTTCGTAATCAGTTAGAGCTTGTTTTAAAAAAAACGATTTCGATATAATACTCAAAGAAGAACAGAGACAAGCTTTGTCCTGGACTTTGCCCTGGACGTTTYCCTGTTGGTATTAAAGAGTCACAACCAACCGTCGTATCTTGCGAAAACACGAAAATGGCGGATTCGTTGGGATTTCTTAAAGTGAGCGCAAATCGTCTTCTATCCTTTCAGTTTGGACAGAAATACCTCTTTCAAAACTAAGTATCTCACAGGTACTGTCAATATATAATCTTTTGTATGATTGTCGCATGCATTTAAACGTATGTAAACAATAACAAAAGCGCRCGCTGTATCATGGTTGGTTAGGATTCTTTAAGACTTTTCGTTTAGAAGAACYGCTAGAAAAACCTTTACTAGTATCGGGAAATTGTGGCTGCTTTTGCCAGAACTTAGTAGAATTTACAAAATGTATTTGCCTTTCTAGCACAAGGAATTAAGACATATAATTTGACACAGATGCTATCTTCAAGTTGAAAACCAAAGCTTCGAAGACGGCGATCGGCGAATACAGTAAACTGAAACTCTTGAACTCGCGACCTCATACTGACAGCGCTTCGCGATAGGTTTATTATAACAACTGANTCAATTGAAGGCTTGAATATTAAAAAGGGCAAAGAAGCATGGAGTAATAAAATGCCAGGTAAAGACACAGTTCATTGATACATTATTGGTGGAATTGAATGTGAGCAATCACGATGATCAATTGAAGGCTTGAAGATAACAAAAAAGAAGCATGGAGTAATAAAATGCCGGGTAAAGACACAGTTCATTAGAACGTATTCGCATAACCCACTTTTTAAATGCTAATGAGTTTGCTAATATTCTAATGAGATTGGCRCAAGAAACAAAAGAGCAAAAACATGCTTGAGTGATTTCAGTAGCGAATATTATTTCAAAACTATTTTGAGCTCAGTTCAATAAATGCAAAATTTCAAAAGGAAACTTTTATTTAAGCTATACAGCTATCTCAACTTCTCGTAAACTACATGCAAGTAATTAGATTAGACGCGGCAAAAGATCGACGTCTGAAACGGACCTCATTGTCCAGAATCGGTTTTGATTCTGGTATCGACGGGTTGTGGAAGTCTGCAATGCTTGTTTTATAATTCTTCCCATGCGCCCAATTTATTTTTTATGCGCCCAATTTATTTTTTATATTAAACAATTTAAATTAACATTATGAACCGCTTAAAAGAAACGATCTGTTGGCATTCAAGGAATTTTCAATCTTGTAGCCAATAACTGTTGAAATTTATTAACTTTAATAATAAAAATGTTTCCGTTTGAAATTGTGTATTTATTAAACTGAGCTCAAAATAATAATATTTTGAAATCACTCAAGCATGTTTTGCTCTTTTGTTTCTTGTGCCAATCTCATTAGAATATTAACAAAACTCATTAGCATTTAAAAAGTGGGTTATGCGAATACGTTCTATTGATACATTATTGGTGGAATGTCAGCAATCACGATGAACAGTTGAAAGCTTGAAGATTAAATAGGCAAGGAAGCGTGGAGTAATAAAATGCCAGGTAAAGACACAGTTCATTGATACATAAATGGTGTTATGGATTTTAAAGACGGCCCCGAATGACAAAAATCCATATGCACAGGCAAGAATCTCGTTTCAACCGAACTGTACAAGGCTTTCAGACACAAATCCCGTCGAAAGAAATGAAGGTAGAATAATATTACTGCATCTTTCAGTACTACTGCTTGCTGTGTCACAGTAATAGCTCACAAGTAGATTTATGAACTCTTCTGAGAGATATCGCTCTCCACATAACAGCGAGTACAACTGGCTGCTTATTCTGCTGTAGGGAACCCTATTGTTTTCAATATAATTTTTTACCAGCAACAAGTGAAATTCCGACATCTAAAAGTTAATTACTTTGTGGATTATGATGGGAACATTGCCATAATAAGTCCTTTAAAACTTAAACGCGTAATCTGGATTCTTTCCCTTGATAGCAAGCGCTCTTTCCAAGCAATGGCTCCCTTCTTCATCTTTCTTCAGTTTGACCAAGAGATGTCCAAGGTTGTTTAAAATAATGGCAATTTTAGGATGGCTTCCATGTAATGCTTCTTCGTTGATTTTCAGTGCTCTTTCAAAGTAGGCTTTGGCTTGTTCATATTCATTAAGATTTTCAGAGAGTTTTCCAAGGTTGTTCAGAGTCATAGCAAAATCAGGATGAAGTGCACCTAWTGATTTTTCATTGATAGCTAATGCTCTTTCAAAATTCAGTTTGGCTAGTTCGTTATCTCCCTGTTCCAGCTGGAGTTCTCCCAGGCCATTTAATGTTCTTGCTACTCGTGGATGGTCTTCACCATATGCAGCTTCAAGGATTGTAAGTGACCTTTCAAAAACATCTTTGGCTTCCTCGTTGATGCCCAAAGCGTGCAGTGAAAGGCCCAGGTTATATAAGTAAATTCCTATAGAAGTATGACTCTCGTCAAGTAGTGTTTTGTCAATGGCTCTTTCTATACAATCCTTTGATTCTTTATATTCCCCACTGTCACTCAATACTACTCCCAGATTAGATAGTATTGTACCCACATGGCTGTGATTGTTTCCATACGTGCTTTCGGCGATTGCAAGTGCTTTTTGGAGACACTCCTTTGCTTGTTTGTAGCTTCCAAGATTACTCAATGATGATCCTAGATTATTTAAACTTGTAGCCACTTCAGCATGATTGACTCCGTACGTGCTTTTTCTTATGGCAAGTGCTTTTTCGTGATACTCCTTTGCTTCTTTGTAACTTCCAAGAT